AGCTCAAACTTGAGTTGTTAATCACTTTCTTTAGATTTTGAACATTTTCGTTGCCTGAAATGAACACACAGCTGTAATGCACAGTTGACAAATGACAGACTGTACATGTACCTTAAAAACAGAGTAGGGAAAAGAGAAGACTTGCCTCCTCCTCTTTGTCTGTTTTGTGCTCATGTATGCAAGCTAGAGTTGTACAGCGACAGCATGAATTTTCTTGCTACATTTAGGTTTGGAGAAATTGATTTAGAACAAAGTAATAAGAAAACAGTGCCACTGCTATTCCCGGCTTGACTTCAAAAATTCTTTGGAAATACTGAAAACGATGCTTTTACACCTACCGGTATGCGTATTTCCTGTTTTTAGTTATGGTGTCCATTGTGTGTGCAGAGAACCGGGAAGAATGCCATTGATACTGGATATGTTGGATAAGATTACCACCTTGTGTGTGCATGCTTTTGTTATTACTCTCCTGGTAGTCTGCTCCCATGTGATGCCTTAATCATGTCAGTGTACATGTACATGTAGTTTGTGGGTCATTGCCTACTGCTAACAACTTTGTTACTCCAATTTCAGTGGAGTTGAAAATCAAAAATGCTTGAAAGAATTGGCAGTGCACTTTGGGAAGATTTTGGCTCTCCGATGCAAGATGTGGTTATGTGTTAAAATGGACAGAGTGGGCTTCGATGTTTCATTTTCTTTTCCCACCGTGTAAATGAAATGTACTTGATGGGGGTAAAATGTACCGTACATGTACATGGACAAATCTAGTTGAGTTCCACAGTGGAAGATTTGTTTATGGGCCTTCTACTGGTACATGTATGAAAACCTTGTGACTCATTTTCATTGATAGATATTTTGATAGATTTAAGTACATTTGTAAATATTCAAGAACTGCACAGACTTTTTAATAAGACAAACAGCGAAAACATGCCTCTACCATTATCAGACAAAAAGTACTCAATTTTCTGCTTCTGACTGAGCCGTTTTCAGTTGCACCGTTTTTTTTTTTCCCAGATAGAATCTTGTTTGTTCCAAAGACCAAGAAAGTCTGTCTCATATCAGGAATGAGAAGAAACTGATGTGTACATGTATATCTGTCTTTGATACAGTGTTTCACAGGAAATTTGCTTTTGGTTGGCCTTTCCCCGGCTGAATTTGACCCCAAATAACAGGAATATCGCCAGACTCGGGGAGAAAAACATGTTTTGCTGTAGTAGCTCCTGAATGCTTGACAGCCCACCTTTAATAGCCTGTCTGATCCACACAGTGAGGTAGCATAGTAGGGTAGTTTGCTCTGTTGTTGTGGGTGTCATTTGAGGTGAAAAGTGATTGAATCGCCCGAAAGTCTGACTGCTCTTGACAAAGTAAGTCTGCAGTTGGTACTGTTGCCTTTCTTTCCTTCTGTGAATGGGTAGGACAATTTTTTATGACCTTTTTTGGGTCTGTATTTTGTTTTGACAATTGGCCCAGTTTGGAATTCGCAGAACCTGGAGTCTGCTGACATTTTGAGGAGCAATTTTCTTGTAAAAGGAGAAACTTAATAGGGACTTTTACTGATCAAAGAGCTGTAGTCAGTTCCAAAAGACCCTTAAGAATGGGACCATTTGTCATAAGTTGAGATGTTGGTGTGTATTGACTTACCAAGGGCTGTCGCCTCAACATTTGTGATGTTGGACTCAGAGTGTTACTTGTAGTCGCACATGTTGGAAAGACTCGTCAAAGAAATAAAATGCTCATTTGCTACATTTCTGGTCCACAAAAAGAGATAAAATCATCTTCAGGACAGATTTTGTTTTCAGCTTTTGGGAAGGTCAATGATAACCTCAAATACATGTATGTGCAGTCAGAAATAGAGGTGTTTTCAGTGGTACAAGCGAGTGAGAACTGCTGACTGCAAGCTGTAGGAAATGATGGCTCAGTGTTTGGAATGCCGAAATGCTAGCCTCTCCGCCCTGAGTTGAATGGCTCCCTCACCGATAAAGAGGAGACAGGGTGGTGCGTTGTATTTCAAATGGGCCCCTGCATGTGTCAGGCTAGCACGCAAAGACCGTACGATCAAATAGAAATTGGCTGGACATGTTTAGCACATTGCAAGCCAAACTTGTATGAATTTATGTACACAAGTGGTCTGTTTTCACCAAAGGACTATCATTGCAGAACAGTCCTGGGTCCAATGTTATAGAGCTGCTTAAGAGAAGAATTTGCTCAAGTGTGAAAAAACCTTGCTTGACAAATCAGGTTACCAGCCAAAACTTCTTGTGATGTATATTGGTATTTTGTTTTGGAATGGTATTTACCTGTCTTTTGGTTAGCATGACAATCACGTAGAGTTTGAGCTGGTAACCTTTATTTATTAAGCAAAGTTTTTGTGCTTAAGCCAATTCTATGCTTAAGCAGCTCTATGAAATTGGCCCCTGGATTCAAGCCCTGTTAAATTTGCCTGCAAAGTTAGAACCAATTGCCAATGGAGGGGTGCCTTTTGTTTGCTTGAACCACTCTCATATGCTGGTAACTCGTAAAAGATATAAGTTTCCACGGCAAACACCTACACTTGGTTTTTTGCCGGGAAATTTTTGCTCCCTCCTCCATTGGTGGTAAAATTTAAAATTTGTCACTACATAAAGGAGACATGCATGTATAAACAGGTATAAACAATTCAAAGCCTTTTTAGAACCCTGATATACATGTAGCTAGTAGGGCGATTTTCTTTTTTGGGGGGCAGATCTAGACAGTATTTGTTTACTCAGCGGTACATTTTGTACAGTGGAGAGATATTGCATGGAGGACCCAAGTTGTAAGTCACGTCGAAGAGTATGTAGGTCAACTGGTAATCCGACTTACATGCACCTGTCGTGACCAAGGCTTTGAGGCTTGGCCATCAGTAAATATACATGTACATGTAGGTCCTCTGCTGCAGGGTTTAAAATTCACAGTCCGCTTGATAAAACGAACAAAATCCATTTACTCCGTGAAAGGTAAACACCGATTGGCTGAGTTTTTAAGTTTACTCTTCAAATGAACACATCTGAAATGCGATGTCAAACAGTGTCATTTAAATATACATGTACCAAAATGAAACCTGAGTATACACAGTCATGCTCTTATTAATAAGTACCAGTAGAAACAAGTCCTTCACACCTGTTTCCTCTAGCGGATCCAGCCACAAATTATAACCGTGGAAAACAGCTAGTTCACCTGGAAGACTTCCCCAACATGTATTTGAGACATTGAATTTGATTCTGCACGCCCCCTCCATCTCAGATTTCTACATCCAGGTACACTGTGCAGACCACAGAGTGAGGAATACTGACCCACAAACTATGAAAAGGTTACACATCCTCTGAGTGGCTCACTGAAATACCCTCCAGGATAGAGTTGTCTGGAGAAGACGTCGCATCGTTAACAGGCCGAGCTGAAGGTGTTAATATTCAACTGGGTTAATTCTTGTTCGGCCATCAGGGGAATCCACACAAGGAGGTGTGGACTGCCTCATCAGTGGGTGCAAATTGGCTCAGAGAGATAGGGTTCACCCCTTCCATGGATTCTTTTCAATAGAATGATGTGACTCATTTGAATGTATTTTACCTCAAGGGCCCATTTATAGATACCGACAATTACCAAATGCACTATTGGAAAGTGGAAACTGGTCTGCAGTGTGATGTTAACCTGTGGCGCTTAAGGCAGGCATGCTCAATATTCCAGTTACTGAGTGATGATTGGGCTATGCAGGGAGAATGGAAGGTATAACAAGGAAACGGTCAGTCTGTGACATCATACCTAATAAGGCGGCTGATTGGCCAGAATGTGCAATCCTGTTCATCACCTTGCATACAGTTTGTATACTTTCAGTATTGAAACGGTCCCATAGGAAACAAAAGCATTTAATTTTTTTAATGAGCAGAATATCCCCCATCAGTTACTGTGTAAATGGACCCCAACACGTACGTGTACTTTGCTTAAATTAGTGACGTGAGTTTGTTTACATACATGTAATTTACTCGGTGGCAGTTCAATTAAGGCAGTCGATGGAGGCAGATTGTCATGTTGCAAAACCGGGTAGGGCCCTTTAATACAGCAGCCATTAGACAAGACCCTTTAAACACGTGGGCAATAGAGGGCGCTAAACCAACTATCGTAGTATCGTGACAATACATGTGTAAAAGTTTGGCAAGAAACAAATCTTTAATATATCAGACAAATGTTACAACATTGAAATCATACTTGTGGTTTCTACATTGAATGGACATACATGTAATGTTCGTACATGTGTGTACAGTAATTGGAAGTGAAGGCAATAGGTCAAACTTGTTGGTGACATTTGCCATGAAAAACTCTGCTCCTCACTGTTTGAATGGTTATCACTGTTGAAAAACGGTTGTTCATTTCACAAAAAAGGAATTTGATGGGCATTTTTTAAAGTTGTTGTGTTTTATTTTGCATTAGACAGAGCAGACCGATCTCCTTGTTTGATAGTTTGATGAAAAATAGACACCCCTTATGAGTGAAAACTTCTCATGGGTTGACATTTTGCAAGGTTCGTTTGTGGTCCTGTAGCTCACAAGTGGCCGTCCTTGTGACTCTGTTAGACCGTTTGGTGGGCCATACATGTACATTCTGGATGGATCCACCCTTCTCCACCCAGTATTTTCAGTAGTTGAAATGGTGAAACGGGTTCAGTGAGATGTAAAAACTCAGTTTGCTTCAGTACAAGTGCAGAACATGTGTTCTTTCCCCAGCAGAAAAAACTACCCTTAGGATTGTAATGTATTTAGTCTAAAGAGCATGTAAGGAAGGTTCGTTGTAGTCATTGTCATCAATATCATTTGCACATGGATATTGTCATATTTGTTGCGCAGGCTGTATTTGTCATGATTTCCGGATGGACAGGTGGCTAAGCTTGCCTGCTCCATTGTCATCAAGCCGTTGCAAGTGTTCAGTCAGTCATCTACCGTAGCTGGTTTCATCCTCTCTCTCTCCTTCCCAAATCTTATCTTCCTCAGGCGTGGGTGTCGGAGATCCATGAGTATGCCAACAATGATGTGGTGGTGATGTTGCTAGGCAACAAGTCGGACATGACATCAGAGAGGGTCGTCAAGAGGGAGGAGGCGGAGAAATTGGCCAAGGTGCTCAAACTTTTCAAATTCTTTGTGCATGTCAGTGCAGATGTGGTAAACACTTGAAATCATGTGTGCCACGGAGTAAAGGCCTTGTTCCGTTGAGCTCTGAACAACCTTTGTGTTAAATTTTTTCTTAAGTGATTTATTCACCGGTGGTTGGTGCTTATACAAGGACCATCTCCGACCATATAGATGCATGTGCTCATTTAGATGTACTTGTGGCAAGAGGAAACTGTGATAAAGTACATTGCTCAGGAACACACACTTTTGGCTTGACCCCAACGAAAGGGAATTCTCTTTTAACAGGCTGAAAATAAAATAATAAGGTCAAACCCCGTCAAACAATCGTTTGTGTATGTACTTGCCCCCCCCCAGACAGTATTGCAGTTATAAAATAGGAAAGACTTGTGTTTGTGAGACCTTTGGTCAGAATCACATTTCAAAATGAAGAGATCATGCATTTTCACTGTGTTTACATAAAGTACCTGAAGCATCCATTGGTCTGAAATTTCAGCAGGCCTATGTAAAATTATACTGTACGAAATGCACATACACGCAGACTTATAGTTGAGTACTTTTCGAGTACCCAGGTTCCCTGCCAAATACTGAACTGGTAAGAGGGAATAAAGCTGGAGTAAATTGGCATTTGATGGTAAATGGACAAAGGTAAGATTACAAACTAAATGTTAGACTTCAGACACTTCCAGTTTTATAAAAAAAAATAAAGTTTTAAGGAGAAAGGTACTCAGAAAGTACTCAGCTGAGTACTTCTTTAGTACTTTGTCCTGAAAGCTTGATTTTTATCAAACAGTCATGGGTCTGAGATCATCATTTTTTTTTTTGTAATCTTACCTTTGTGACTTCACCATCAAATGCCCACATGTATGTACTCCAGCTTTGTTCCTTCCTAACTTGTTAAACATTTGGCAGGGAACTTGGTAGTCGACTACAACACTGCTTACATGTATGTGTGTTCCATTTTAAGGATCGTAAACATGTATGCTTGTTTACAAGTAGAGTGTCTTGAAAAAGTACAACCTTGTCATACCTCCCCCCTCCAGCAGATCTGGGGGGGGCATAGCTGGAGGGGGAAATGTGGCTATTCTCCCCTTCCCATAAAGATGGAGCCAGAAAAAAATTGACTGAGAGGGAGGTGAAGGTCTGTTTCAGTTTTCTCTTCCTTCCAAATGTGCTTTAACCCCCTCCCATGCAGCCTCACCCTTCAAACAAGGCCATGAAAGGCTACGGACAAATATCTCTAGATCTTTGGCCTCCCCCCAAACAAATTTGGTTCTTTATAATCTGCCCTTGTCTCCCACCCACTGGATTTGATCCACAGTCTGGCAGAAGACTGCGGGCAAGAGGTCAAACTCTGACGTTGTTGCTCGAAACTGACCTTGGCCAAAACAGCCACGTTGAAGCTGGATCATAAGATGCCGAGTACAGTTACTCCACCGTTTCTATGGCAAAGATCCTCCTTTGACGTAGATAATCTCACAAAAGCTCTGGCCATCCCTTATTTCTTGCCTGGAGCATTTACATGATTGTCTTTGTTGTCACTGTTACCAAGTCGGCTAGTCTTACCTGAAGAATGGTGCAGCATGCACACATATGATGCAACAATAATTAAATGACGACTGTTAGATGAAGACGTGTGTTCAATTTGTCTTCCTTTCTTTACAAGTTAGTTCCTCTCCTCTAGGCATAAAAGAAAGCCTCTCTTTGCTTTCTTAACTGAATTTGGATTTTACCTTAATTTGCAATCTTTTTTTTTAATTTCAGGACAATGGTATTGCTTACATGGAAACCAGTGCAAAGACAGGACTTAACGTGGATCTCTCCTTTATGGCTGTCGCTAAGTAAGTTGCTCAACCAGACAGATGGGGTCGTGTAGTCATGGAAACTGATTTTAAGCAATATTGTACACACAGTGGGCTTTCATGCCTCCAGTAACAAATAAAAGCAAGAAAACCAACCAAGATGACATCCACTTATTGCTTAAGCGTAAAGTTTTCCAAGTATGAACATGGTGATATCTTTTTTAGATTGTTTCGCCAACATTCATTAAAGGTTTGTTGTTTGTTGAGGTTAGAATCTAACACAGAGCCCAACTGTCTTCTGATCATTTCAGAGATTTGAAAATGAAGAAGACAAGACGACCAAACGAGCCCAAATTCAACGTCCGAGATTTTGTCGACCAGCAAAAGCAAACCCCCTCCGGATGCTGCTTTTAGAAATAATTCCAGTCAGTGCAGATGGCACAGTCAACCTTGAGAGAAACTTTGTAAATTGGGTACTTGACGTTGAAAAACTTAGGCATCCAACAACTGCTGGAAAGTAGACCGATTTGAGGACAAGGTTGAACAGGAGGGTCCAGAACGGCATTGACACGGTTTCGTATTTGGCAACTTTGCATCAGAGAACTCTTCAATAGGCTGTGATTGGACAAGGCTTAAAGTGGCCTGTTGAGACTTAGACCGAATGCATTTTTCCAGAAAGGCCACTAAATTGGATTGTATCTATTGAGATCTCAACTGTTCTTGATGAGATGACTCTGTTGCTACCTTCATATTTACAGCACAGAATTGCTAGGCGTCGAAGATAGCTGATCTCTGGTTATTGTAGCGTGACGCTTGGGCACCTCGTGGCTTAATTTCAAGTGATCATCACCGGTGCGGAACCAGCCCCAGAATCCAGGGGCTGATGATTTCCTGTCAGATACGTACGTGCAGTAGAGGGCGCTGTTCATACAGCTCACCAGCCATTACAGTTTTTTGCTCAGGATGAAGAAGTTGAACCTTGGGTAGAGCATATTTGGCATAGAGGAATTAATCAAGAGGAAGTCGTAATTGTAACCAACCAGTCGTTGAAAAACAGTTGACATGACTGTACATACATTTAAGTCAAATGTAATCTTGAAGGAGATAATGTCTTAAACCAGTGTCACAAGGCATATGGTAAAAGGTTATGAAGTCATTCAAGAACAGACCAAAACATTAGAAAAAGCACACTTCCAAGTACCGTGTTAAGAGTTGGCATCCTGGGTGTACACTTTCAACAAAGGAGGAAAAAGAATGGTATCAGAATACATAATGAAATTTAATTATTAGCATTTGGAAGAATCTATCCGACTCACACAATGTGAGAGTTCTCTCAAGAACGTGTACCTTGACTGCATTGATAATACTAACAACGATTCTTTTTTGAGCCTGTCCCCTGCTTGTTTGTTAACGCTTTTTAATTTAAGCGATACGTGAATTTTCGTACAAGTGTTGGTTCATTATTGTCAACTCTGTCCAAAGTCAGAACACATGATCCACACGTAGGATGATTTTGCATTCTAAATTGCAACAGCGCTCTCAGACCGTGAACGAAGAAACCACCAGTGCATCACAGCATAACATCCGGAGCTATGCACTGCATTCCTTTCTGACCAATATCATGGTTCCCAAATTGGCCTTCACCCCTAAATGAGGAGACTTAACAAGGAAGTGCACGGCTGCGAGTTCCATTGGCATTGATTATTTGTGTTTAAATGTCATATTTATGGAAAAATCCACACTTCTAATGTCCTTTCAAACTTGGATGCCTGTTCTTAATGAAGTTCCCTGATGGATGCTTGGTGAATGTATTACGATGTGCATGGATGCTTTTTAGCGAGCAGAGTTTGGCAGTTCAGATTATTTTCTTTAAAGGCCTTGGATGCTGTTGAACGCACTCTGTCATAATGATGTTTTTGGTTAAAATTAAATTTTAATTCTGAGTATCCGAAAGGACACTCTCACATTGGATGGGAAATTCATACTACATTTAGCACTGTTCATATTTCTGATTGGCTCCATGCACCCATACATGTGCTTTATATTTGAATTTCTTCTTGCATGAAAAATCCCTTGTGATCAAAATTACAGTTCTAAAGAAACTCACCAAAAATAAGCCAACAAATGTACCCAATTTGTCAGTTGTTTGAAGTGGTTTGTCTTCTTTTGCCTCACATTGCAATTGTTGCTTTACTTAGTATTGAACTGCAGCCCTTGCATTGAAAATTATCTAGCACACAAAATGGAAGGAGAGCTCTCTTAGATCAACATAAATAAATTAGAAGACCATAGAACTTTGTAACTTCGATTACAAAGTCAGGTATCGTCTCTCACTGTAAGTAAAGTTTATGATGAAATCTGAGAACTTATAGCCATGTCTGTCTTTTCCCACCTCTAATCATCAAATTCCCTCTCCTAATCAAACATTTATTTGCTCGGCAAATGAAATTTTGCACCGAGAGCTCTTCTCAAAGCATCTCCGAGAGAAATCAGCTTACAAACGATAATGTATATTTAATATTTAGTAGTTAATCAAATGCCATGCTTATGAATGATACAAATCACAATTGTATAGGTACATCTGTAGACACACCCATGTGGGACTTATCTGAAGCCTCTAGATACGAGTGTCAAATTAATATTTGAAGAAAATCAGTACTGTAATGAAATATCCAAATTTAATAAGATAGTGTATGAAATTTGAAGCAGGAGTGTTGTTAAACAATTGTATATAGCCGCTCTTTCCAAACGGATTGGATGTAATCATTCCCTTGATAAACTTTTAAGACACAATCAGTTTGACCAGTCCACCTACTCAAACTTGCCATTCCATAAGATGAAGTAGATTTATTTAAGAAATAAATCTTGTTCAGTTCATAATTGCATTTGAAACTGTAATCATTCCAACTCTGCTTAAATCCAGCACCTGGCTTTACCTCCGGTGCGGAGGACTAATTGCCATCAAAGTCCTGGTAGATCAACCGCAAGTCATCCTGTCTTGAGTCAAGCCTCTTCAAATAACCTTTGATGGAGGCATTTCTTTGTCATGCTTACTTTAATACTAGTAATTAGTTACTTAAAGACTCGTCACACTCACCATTAATACCTGAGTTGTGACCCAATTTCAGACTTAATTAGGATTGACACCATTACAACCCTTGCAACTTGGTCCTGTTTCTTGATGTAGTACTGAAGTAACACTTCTCTTCATGCATACAAGTGTGTAATACCGCAAAGTGCTGGATTGGAGTGCATAAAGGATGGTGACAAATACATGGCGATTGAGCGGAGATTAGGGATAAAGGCAGTTGAAGAAGTATTATTGTAATACACGTCATTTTGGCAAGGATCCAGCACCTATATTTTTCTGTTAGTGATGAGAATTCACATTCAATAATCATGTGCAGTGTCAGAGTAAACTCTTACTATGGACTTTCATGAACCTGCCCATGTTTTACTTTCCATAAAATTGAATCGGTAACATCTTCTGTGAGTCAGCTCACAGAAAGCAGAGTGAATATCAGCAATTTTAGTAATTTGTAGTTTCCTTGAAATTTGTCTGACTTGAGTTTAGTATCTTAATATCCGTGGTTTGTATTACATTTCAAAGAATGTGCATTCACATCGGTGCTCTGATATTGATCATGCCATTCGAAATAGAAATTATAATTTCAAAATGTTGAAGCTACTTTAGTCTGCATGTGGGACTTTTGACTCACAATGAAGTAATCTGTTGAGTTCAATATAACCAATTAAAGACAGTGTACATGTACATGATCCCCAAGAAAGGGAACAGATGGTTACTAATTGTAACTTCCTATTTATATACCACGCGTCTTCATCTTTTTTTTTTTTTTTTTGGTTAAAAACCTAGGATGTCGTTGAAAGCTTTTGAGTCTTAATGTGGGTGAATAGGTGTTTTTTTTTAGTTTTTGAATTTGTTGTCTGAGGTTCGTTAGTGGTGAATGTGGTATTTGTTGCTTCATTTTACTTATTTAGCATGTAGTTGATGTGCAATAACAGCTGAGTTGCTGTATAGTCTTCAAAGTAATGCTCTATGCGGCATGAACTGTTAGTTGTTGACAGTACTTTGATTGAAGGAAATGAGTAGATTTTGGGGTGTTCTTTCCTGTGCATGTCCCTGCCCTGCGTCTTGCATATTGTGCAAATCAGTGTACTGTTTGGTTGAGACAAGTAACTAACACAAGATCAATTTCACAGAGTTGCCAAGAACAGTGTCATTTAGAATTGTGAATGTTTTTACTTGTGATAATGTTTTCAACCAAAGTAGTTCAAGCTAGTCCACTTTCCATAGAGAGTCTCCCTAAAACAGTTTTAAATAGCAATTACTTGAAGGGGTGTGCGTACAGGACTCATTATGTGGCTTGGAAAACCAGGTTATGTCACAATTTTTTTCTGACTTCCTACATTAAAGCAAAGTGTATTTCTCATCAGTACATTCAGAAAAAAAGTGACACAGCCACCCAGTTTTTCCCACATCCCAAACCTGCACCATCTCTAATGGTCACCGTTATCTCAATTCTCATAACGGTGATACATACCACATAACGAAAAGTCAGCCGAGCTCACTGCGAACTATTTTCAAGATGTATAGTTCGCGGTTACGCGCTGCTTCACTTGACTCAGACCGGCCAGCCGACCCCGGCGAGCTCGGTGGTCGAGTGGTTAAGACATCTGCACTAGTAAGCTGGAGGTTGTGGGTTCGAGTCCCACCCGAGTAAACTTGTGAGGTTTTTTTTTCACAAGCTCTCAGAGAAGCACTGAGCATACAGTGCTTATTAATGTACGTTGGGTAAGGGCAAAAACCCATTATATAAATGTAAAACTTCTCAATCAAAATTCAGCGTGTTCCAAAGTGGTCAACAACTGGCTCAGATAATCAGATTAGCAGAGAGATTAATGTTGTGATCCCTGTCCATTTGAAGTCCCAGGATTAATTTGGTTGTACACTCATTTTAAGTTTGAACCTTAGTGTTTCTGTTCAGGAATGTGTAGCTACAGGAGAAAAAAGAACTGTTTCATATATATTTGCTTAGTGTTTTCAGGGTGCTGGATGAATTTCATAAGTTTCTTTTTTTTTTCCTTTTTCCATTTTTCCTGTTGCAAGTGTTGACACAAAGTTAGGCCCAAAGTTAAAAAACTATTCTTTTTCACATTTTTGTGGAATGCATTGACAAAATTTAGCCAGCTTTTGTCAAGTTTGTGAAAAAAAGAAACCGTAATATAACTAGGATGAATGAAATATTCATTTTCCAATTAACTTTTCTTCTTCGTTTAAAAGGTATATAGTCTGTTAAATCTTTACTTCAAATTTTGAGGCAGTCACCTTGCATCAGTTGGGTATAAAACAATTTTTAGATTTATGTTTTGGGAACTCCTTTTGTCAGTCTTTTGCTGTACTATCTCAGTGTATTCAGAAGCAGAATATATCTCATCTAACTTGTCATGTATATTTATGCTAAATAATTTTTTTTTCTGGAAATGTAAATAATGTTTCTATGAATGTTGTCTGCATCAAAAGACAGAGAAGAGGTGAAGACATAATGTATGTGTATTCACAAAGGTGTAAATATGGGTTTAAAATAGAATGGACAGAAAGAAGCACTCAGACATTGTACTGTATGATTTGAAAAATGCAAATTTTGGCTTGCCATGTGATGTGAAATTGATTTTCTTTGAGGAAAGTCTAGTTTACTTGTTATTCAATATTGCAAGTCGCTAAGGTAAAGACATCGGTGAAATCTCTTCCTTGGTAATTCTTGAATTTGTTACTGTACCACATACATAGACATTGAATACAGTTTCCGTTCATGGTGGCAAATGTGGGTCAAAGGTCAGTGCTGTATGCCAGTGCTCAATACTATGTTGATGTTAAAAAGTACTGTTCTGTGTTTTAGTTAAAACAAAACTAAGATGACTTATAATCTGAAGGTGAAACTCGGACAATTCATTTAATTGTGTCGAAGTACAATTGAGAATAAATGTATTCCATATTTTAAGTTTTGTCTGTGTTCCTTGAATAAAGGTAGCCATCGCTTCTGGTGATAGTACTTGTAATTAAGTGTTTGTGTGTGTTATACATCACTATTTCAAAGAAGAAATTGGACTTCAAGAATAAACTAAAACAGACCAAAACAAAACATGAAAAAGCATGCAAAACAAACAGATAAAATTGGACAATTCACATATTTATATTTTTTTCTTTGGGGGTTATAAAAGTTCATCGATTTCCTTTAATTTTTTTTAGAGTTAGAATAATTTCTGTTGTCAAATGATCAGCTGGTCGTGTTGACAGGACATAACATGCAAATAAGTTTTAACCTTAGCCCTCCGAACTCGCGGGATCGTTGATTATTGTAGGTAAGGAATTTATGTAAATAACACCAAGCATCTTAAATCCAAATAAATCTTATCTAGAGTAATCCGTTATCGCGTAGGTGCTTATAGGGGAAGAAGATAGTATTCTATTATTGTAGTGCTCATTATTATTATTTCTTATTTTAATACTTTGAAATGCACATCAGATTTCAAAATAAGGATTCACCCCCTCTTCAGTAGAGTGGACGGAGCCAAATATACAAGGGAGTTTCCATACATTACCCTGTACATCGATCGTACGTGAGGGTCAACATGCTACATGTATGAACTAGCAGAAATTGATGGAGACTCCGTGTTCGAATTTTGCCCGAAATACTGCTGATGCATTTAGGATTTCCAACCTTGGAAAGTTTTCTCACAGACGCCATGACGTCCGCTCCAAGGAGTTGTGTATTGCTTCAACAGTTCTTCATTTATAACCCAACACTCGGTCCGAGAGAGGGTGAGGTAAGTATAACAGTGATGCACCCTTTTCGTGAAGAATTTATACTAAATTACAGCCGGCCTGGCATCATGGTACTTGTATTGGGGTATACATGTATATTTTCTCCTGAAACATCCTTGTGGGATTTTAACCATGTTAACTACACGGTCGCAGGGAGCTGTGGACGTCTTAAATCTTGGTCACAATGCGGTTTTAATAATTGTCCCTAAAAATCTTGATTGATTAAACTGAGTTTTACGGCTTTTATCGAGTGAGCCAATTTTATGGGGGCCCTAGTACAAGTAGGCTAGGATGGGTTACTCTAGTATTATCACAGTGGTTATCACATTTCCCGATCGAAATAATGATTGCTCGCTCACCTTCCTGAATTATCCTATCCATGCTATCGTTTAACTCATACTTTTTAAGTTGATTCATAAAATTTACTTTGTGGTTCAATTTATTTTCCTCTACGATAGCACAGAAATTTGTGTGCACACTGTATGCAAGTGGAGGTGGAGTCTCTATTATCGCGGTATTGAGAAATGGTTTCTACGATGGCCTTTAATGCACTTGTTTCATGAATAAATAAAATAAATAGAAGGATTTTGTTTTTAGAGGAAACAAAATAGCTTTATTTTGTGATAATGTTCCATTTTACCTGTAATTGATTCCAGTTTTCCAGTCTCCTCCTTAAAGATGCCAGAGAACGAGATGAGAACAGTTGCACTGCGTCACTTACATTTATTAATCCGATAAGGAATGACTTCATTTTTCTACCAGAACTTGTTTACCTCAATCTTAAATCTAGCAACAACTTTGACGTTCATCTTTTTACTTAAATTGGTGTTTTGCCGAAGGAATAATAAATATTTAGGAATTGTAAATTCCATTTTTTTGATGGACTCATTCTTTTATCGATGTCTAAAAAAGTTGTTAAAAAGTTTTCTTTCTGTTCCATATACGGTTGCCAGTAATTTTTCCCTACAGTGACTTATCAGCCATCAGAGAGCAAAAACATGTCAACAAAAGTTTGATTTAGTAGGGAAAAATCCAAGTCGTTTGCTTGGAAAACACTTTGAATTTTTGCAACCAGTCTCATAGGGTGAAGTCCGTATATGGTACTCTTTCCCATGTGTGTCTGCCTTCATGTAAACAACGTATTATTGCAACATTTCCAAGTGTGGATTAACCTACAGGAATATCTCTTCCCTTTGCCATATTAGATACACACAGGGTGGTCATGATAGTTGGGTAAATGTAAAAAGCCTGTTTTTTGGTTTTTTTTCTTTCTAAAATGCTTTGTTGATGCCTGTTGACACTTGCACACACCAAATAGCATGACCTAAAAGAACAGAAAGGACAGTAGGCCTATTGAAAAAACTGAAAAGCTACCTTAGGGCCCGTTTACACTTGCGCACGGTAACAAAGAGCGGTAATGCCTTGTGATATTTTGCATTTACACAGGAGCCGAAAGCAGTTGGTTATTTTAGTTAATGATCTTCCACAACAACAATGACGTAGCAGCCACATCATTATGTCATACTCAATGAGAACACTGATTGGAGGCATGTGGCCTTAGTGGTTAGGGTTTGTAGCTTCTGATCATAGGGTCAGGGGTTCGAATCCAGCTGGAGGCAGCATGTTGTGATCCTGGGCAGGTCCCATACCCCTATGTGCCTCTCTCCACCCAGGAGTAAGTGGGTACCTGTGAGGGCAGACACGGTTGTTTAGCCGTTTGCGCCGAAGTGGCAGCACCGGGCTAGTATACTCCCCAGGGGGCTGAGATGGTTTCAGGAATGTTCAGATGATGTGTGAGCCCATTGTGCAGGGAAAATAATAGTACAGCGCCTCTGAATAGTTTGTTACAATGTAGATAGATGGTGCTTTACAGGTGCTGCTGCTTCTTATCATTATTTGACAGAGTGAGCAGTCTCAGCATGTTACCTTTGGGGGAAAAAATTGCTCTGAATGAACTAGGGCTGAGTCAATTTGGCCTTCAGTATTCGAATATTCGACCTTCAATTTGATCGAATATCCAAATATACTGTACTTGGTCGTACCAACTGGCAGATTGCTGATGAATAAATCATATACAAAAGCAGTTGCAATAATGCTCACAATTGTACATTATAATCACTATAAAAGCTTCTCACGTCTAGGAGTATTTCCAGCCACGAGTTTGCAAGATTCAAGACATAGAACAGTATTTCTTGCCCTGTTGAAAATTTCTATTCATTTTAAATTATTTAATGAATAATTAAATTCTTGAGTTGTAAGATATCTGTCGCTTTTTATTTGAATCCACTTGAAACAAGCTTCCATAGTGCAATGTTTTTCATTTAAAACAAGAAAATTCTCCCTTATCATAAATTTTTGCATTCAAATATTCAAATTTGGAAAATAATATTCAAATATTTGATAATCAATTGAATATTTGGATATTTGGCACTGCCCAAGGACAAACCCCAGGGGTTTATCAAGCAACAACATGGTTTGTCCACTCCAAATGTCAACGACCTAAACAGAAAACCACGTGTTCTGTTTTTTTATTGTGCAGCATTCCGTTAGGCCTATCCCGTGTGTGTAAAGGGGCCCTTTTAATGAAATTTATTAATTAACCATGGCAATTACTGTAATGATACTTTTGTAGATACATGTACATATACATATACATGTACATGTTGGTGAATACTTTGTACTTCTGTGTCACACATGTAGATACTTGTAGCGAAGTAAAATATTGTCGCCTCGTTGAGTACTGCACAGATTGTATTGTTTAATAAATGTACTTCATTTATCTGCAGGAAGAAAAGAAGATTCTCTTTTATCATCCGAGGAATACAACCATCGATAATCAAATAAAAAATGTAGGCCTGAGTGAAGCTGTCATCAAATTTACAGAGTAAGAATGGGTATTTATGCCTTGTTTTCATTCAGCTGATGCTACATGACTGTGAAAGGGAAGTGCTTTGTAAAAGATTGGGTTTTCATGTAGCACCTTAGAATATCCATATAAAAAAAGTGTTTAACCTCCTTTTTTTCACCCTTGCCTTGACCAGGCATCATCGCCAATTTCAATCTTTGGTTTTTTTTATATTTGGATCCTTTTTAGCCCATTTTCTGCCGGATTAAGGTAGGCAGAGCCTAGTCATGATCACTAGTACATAGGACATGATATGACTCGATATTTATGTGCAAAGAACGTGCCATTGGTCTCATAGAGGATTTTGGAGAACGTACTAAAGTTTTTCTTGCAAAAAGGCTTAAGCCATTGGACTGAGAGGAATTCTGTGAAGATTACACCATGGGTAGCTCTTAGTAGGGTTAGATTTCTTCGGCTTTCCTGCCCATACCACCAGTGGCTCACTTTCAGCTTGATAATCAGTAAATCTCTCCAGACACAATACTGAATCCATAAGCCATGGCATCGTAACGTACCGGTAGCAGTTTCAGTGGATGTGAATTAACAAGATCCAAAAGATCTTCCTTTGCTGTTTGGTCATGGTTGGGTCTGGTTGGTTTTAAGTATTAGATTCATTCCATGTACATTACGGCAACAGACTTCAACTTTCCCGTCACAGTTTGAATTTCTCAATTTCAGAACCTTTTCAACAGAGCAACCATGCGAATCTATGCACACACAGAAGACCAGACATCTTTACCTACAACCCGAGAAGGATTTCTCCATTGTAATGGTTAGTAGTATACTTGTACCGTGCGCTCAATGATTTCCACGAAGACGGGGCAGTTTGCTGCCTCAAGGCATCTGGGCCCAATTTCATGGCACTGCTTTCCGCAGAATTCCGTGCTTACGATCTCCATTCTGCGCTAACTACACAAGCAGAAAAATTCTGCGCTAACCCTTTAAGCACAGAATTCTTAGTTACAGGATGACGCATGGGCACAAGCCAAAATATCTCGCTATAAAACCCGTGAAATATGTTCGGCGTAAATGCAAAATTTTTGCTACGGTAAGTGCCGATAATGCGCTTGCGGTAAGCAGCGCCGTGAAATTGGGCCCTGTACCTGTCTCCAGTCTGAACAAACAGACCAAAAATTAAAAAGGGACTTGAGTTCGATTTTGGAACTCTTGCCAATAGAAAGAAATAGTCCTGCCTCGCAGAACATGGCATTTGAAAACAGGGTCAGTAGGAAGGGTTTTTATGGTGATTCAGTGTGCCGCTAAGTGTTAAGTGGTAAAAATTTAACAGCATTAACAAAAGTTATTTGTCATTTGTTTCAAATGAAAATTTTAACTTTTAAATGATATTAATTTCATACATAAGTAGATATGTTGGACCTCTTCACAACACATTCAAACTAATGTAGATTCATCTTTCCCTTAGTTCCAAGTTCTCATATCACCAAGATTTTCAAAAACGGTATATAAGCAAACAGAGGACGTAACTTTTTTGGGCTTAAATAAACTGGTTACAAGTCTAAATGACCAGTGATAATGTATGGGTAACTCTGTGACTAGTTTCAATTAAATTTTTAATCAGCATGCACAATGTAGGACTGTAGAAAATTGCCCAATGTGATGAAATAAATTACAGGTTCATCATGTGTTGTCCCTCAGACCACTTCTCAAGTGATTCTAATTCTAGCACTCTAACTAATACGCAGGTTTAATTTCTTTCGTTTTAGGTTATAACTGTGCCTTTCAGTGACAAGACAAAAGATGGCAAGACATATCATGAATACCATGAAGAAGACATTCAAGATTCAGTCTATTCGGCCGTCCTCAAGCACGCCTACAAGCTCTTCAAGGTAGGGCCTGTCTTAAATGTGTTTTTGTGTTGGTCCTGAACCTCATAGCATGGCACAGTGACGCAGTCCTTGTACTCAAGACAGATATTATGCATCAAGCCCCTGCAGGGTTCCATGCTTGTAAATCTTAAACAACAACCAAAGTTTTGGGCCAATGCACATCAGTGTGAAGCCACTTGCCTTTGTATGCGGTGCTTTAAAAGTAAACATTTTGCGTGGTTTTTCAGGATTGTAACCAAATTATGTAAATATTAGCCGTTAGTTGACCGACGGCTGTCCTCTCGATCTGAACAACTGTTTGAATCTGTTGTCGTCAGGTCAAGTTGACTGGATGGTACTTTCGTTGCCTTGCACCTCGGCGGCTCGGGTTCAAATCTCTCCAGGCCAACTTGTGGATTAGGTTGTCAGTCCCTGGCCAGATTTCTTGGGTTCCCCAGATCATTTGTGTGTCGACGTTTCCCTCTCACCTCTAAAACTCAACATTTCTTCATTGTCTTCTTCCCCCAGGGCCCTTAGGGAGAACAGTTGATAACTGAGAGAGCTTTACCCTGATGAGATGGTTAAAGAATAGATAAAAGTAACTCTTGAATTGCCAAGATTTTTGTGGATCGTGAGTGGTTGCATCTAGGTTTAAACGGTGCTTTTGCAGCATAACATCGTCACCTTCATTGCATAGTAGGCCTGGCTGTGACATTTTCTTGTCTCGCTGCAAACAGTTCCACACTTCTTCTCTGCCCTTTTCTTTCTGTCAGCTCTTTATGGGGTCTTTCACGTCCATCATGGAGAACAACGGAATTGACCAACTCAAGCACAGATTGGAACACTTCTACAGTCGGGTAATCTCAGTTCAAACGATCAGTGTGTGAAGAGGCTCCAAGTATGTGATTGTGACATAGCAGGCATAATGATAGCTACATGTACTTGTGTAATGTACATCTATCTGTGAGGCACAGCTTGAGTGGTTGAAAGTTTACGTGTAATATTTGGTGGTGCCCTTTACTTGCGTAGCTTGAAATTATGACTTTGAAAGGCAAAATCTACTGAGATAATTTGACTTCTTTGTGGTCCTTGATGCAGATAATCTCAGGGTTATCAAAAGTTTGTTTTTTTACCAGCAAGTTGAATGTACCAGTTACGTTCAAAACGGCAGACAGTGTAGCTGATCACATACGTGTAAGACTACATGTGAAATGAGTTAGATTGTGGCATGGATGATAGCACATCTGGGGGGGGTCTCTCCTATTCATATTGACATCAAAAAGAGCAACTAGAAATATCCTAATTTGGCACACAGTTGTGCGTCCACCGTTTAAAGCAAAAGTGGGAAGAAGGCCGTGTGGGACACACCAAGGGGCGGAGCCAGTGGCAACATCCACTGGATGTTAGATTGACTGAGGTCATTTGACATGTTGTTTTCCAGTACCTGCTGAACTTGAGGTTGAGCCACAGTGACATCCTGGAGATCCACCACGGCATCCTGTTCCTCCCGCTGGACAAGAACACCTACCTAAGAATACAATGTTTCATCAACCTCATCGAGGCATCGTTTAGGTACTTTGGGAGTAAATGTGATAACGATTCCCTTCCTCGGTTGAGATTTGCGCTGCATCTCCGTACATCACTTGGGCCGTGGCGTCTTGACATGACTGAAGAAAAAAATGAAAAAAGTGGAAGATTAGTAACCTGTGGAACTGTCTTAGGCCTTACTAGATTTTGAAGGTTTTTAGTTGGAGGAATATCACTTCATGTTCAGATATTATGCATTCATTGTTCTTTCATCTTCAAGCATGACCAGCAAAAGTTTACCTTATCCAGATCAGTTGAACATTTTGGCACAGCTGTCCAAAAATTACTACTCGCTTCAGACACACATGGGTCATTGTATGAGTGAAACTTTAAAGGTCCTTCTCACATGAGTGACGGTCTGCCCTTTTGTTTCCTGATTCCAGTCAAATAAAGTACACAGCATTCCTGTACAACAATCAACTTGTTTGGTAAGTCCATGGCCATTTTCCAATACTCAACTTCATCTCCGTCTAAGGCTTCGTTCCCAAAACCAATCCCCGATTGTTGGCCTGAAGCGTTTAAATTACATTGGATTACTGTAATTTCTGGCTCTCTTGCATCTTATTTGATGTTTTGTGGCACTATTAGACTAATCACTGCGCTTACAGCTTCAAAGTCAGCTAGTAAAAAAAAACAGTTGAAGCCTGAGAAAGAGCCGAAGTTGAGTATTGGACAACGGCCCATGTGTTGTTTATTTTCTACGACCAAACATTTCAGCTGACTGAAATTTGTATTTGGGATGTTGTGTCCAGGAAACTTTCAATGCTTTGTGTATCTCGTTTCTTCAGGAGTGGTCTTGAGCAGGACGACATGAGGATTTTGTACAAATACCTTACCACAAATTTATTCCCCTCTTCCTTAGACACTGAGGTAGGTTCTGATAGCCTTATCTATCTAGCATTCTCATGTATCAAAATCATATTTACATAAACATGTTAACCTTCGACCTTTTGAATCGTCATGCAGCTACTAGAGTGTATCACTCTCCAGTAACTTGTGACTTTTTTTTAGCTTCAACACAATCTGGGCATCCAAAGTACAAGTGCTGCCGTGCTTTACAGTCCCAAAGAATGAAGTTACCAAAAGAGCAAACGTGTAATCCATTCAAGCAAATTTTGCCAGTGTCAGGAATGATTTCCCAGCAGAAATGCCAAGGGAGAGGCTGGAGACTTTGGGAACATTTGCTCGACGGAAAGACAGCCCTGGAGGTGGATTTTTGAAAGGTGCTGAGGTGTAAGGATTGTGGACGTTGAACCTGGTCCTGTGCTAGCACTAGTCATCTACATGAAAGCGTAAACGTGTTGTAAAGTGCCAACTGTAACCATTATATTTGTGTGTGTTGTTTGCAGCTGAAAGAAACGACAATAAAGTCCAACCAGACGTTAGGTAGCACTCATTATGGCAAGTAAGTTGAATGTCCCTGTTTGAAAGTTTCCCTTCCATGTACAAAGAGGGTTCGGGATCTCCTCAGATTAAAGAATTCGTCCGTGTCTATCGAGACATTTGTATCCCCTCTCTAGCTTCATTTGTTTTTCGTGTGAAGGTCAGTTTTCATAATTGATGCTACTGTGACGTCGCAAAATTGTCGCGTGAGAAATGATGGCAAAATTGTCATCAAAAGGGTTTATACAAGCACTTTCATATGATGTCATATATTTCACACTGGAGTATTTCTGTTGTTTCTAGACTAACGTTCTTTGGGGCATATTTTTTCAGTGAGGAAAGTTCACGCTCACTTGCCCATCTGTCTATTTATGTTGTCAGATTTGTGACAGGACCAACCGATCCACACAACCAGCAGTCTTCCAGTCAAATCCGACCGCCAAAGATCTTTGTCAATAACGGATGTCACATAGAAGAGCTGCACCTTGTGGTGTATAGGGTAAGGTCCAAATTGTCCTGGAGTTTCGTCTGTTGAAGCCAAGCTATGGAGTCCTATTGGAGACAAACCCCCCGGGGTTATAATTTACTTCCCTCCATTCTGATTTCAGGAAACCAACAGTGGATCACTGAACACGATCCAGATCCACGTGAAACAAAGAGACCTTTTATGTCACATGAAAAAACGGACTGTGCTAGGCGCTGCACTATTGCATGCTGGTTTACCAGTCCTACAGTCTACAGTCATGCCCAGAAGTTGACTTACACTGGAGCAACAAATAGTCGATGTTCATTTATACCTCTTCTCTCTGCGGTGATCATCATTCTTTGTAGTCATAATTTCATCCTTTCTCCTTTATTTTCATCCAAAGTTGGCGCAACTGTGGATGACTTCATTCACAATTTCACTCCTGATGTGACAAAACTAAGGGGTCAAATGTTTACATGATTTTTACAAAAGTTTGCAAGAGGTATAAATGGAAGTCAACTGTACTCTGCCCAAGTGTATCAAAACCTTTTGGCTATAGGTCAAGTTTACACGTATTGGCATGCACAAGACAAAATGTTCTGCCTGTCTGTTCAAGTCCACCTCCGTTCCGTCTCACTAGTCACTCTTAAAGAACCTGGGGCGATACTCGACCTCCACTGGCACTGTGCAACCAGCACCTGTGGGAAAATGCTTCCAGATACTGCAAAGTTACTTGTATGAAGTCATGCTAGAGGTGTGCGAACACACTTGCTTATTCTATATTTATGAGGACTACGCACCTAGCTGTTGAATGAATAGAGCCTCGGTTTCAGGAGCTTGAAGTAGAATATGCTAGCAGTCTTCAATCGTGTCAATCCTTCGATTTCAGTGCAATATTTATACACCCTAGTGGGTTAGGCTTAAAGATTTTATATCGTCACTTGACTTCCGTGTAGTTATTTTTCCTTTTTTTTGTCCTCAGGCCCTCAGTGCAACAGTGTGTCTGATGGTTGATGGTAAGGCGACTTTGATTCATTCAACCATTTTATTTATTACTTTCGGCTGCATGTTTTCAGTCAGTTACAAGAGAACACATCTGTCGTTATTCATTTCATCAGGTTTCTGGAGTCTGCCAGTGACTTTCCTAGATTCAGAAAAAGAACTGTTGAACATGTCTCATGCCTGTACATGTAGTTATGTATGGTGAGTTATTCGTGTTTTTTGTCTACTGATCAGGGTCAACTGTACCACCATTGGACTGGTATAAGAATATCGACAGTTTCATCGGTCCTCAATTAAGTAGTCTTGCATCGGACATTGGTGAACAGTACGCAAATAGGAAAGGAAGCAGGTAATGACAGGTGTGACTAGGGCTTTGCTAGGAAAATTGCTAAACACAGAATTTATTTGCTTAGCAAATACAGGCCCAGCTGCAGAGTGTGGCATATGGCAAAAAAGCTCTGTGAATGGGGCCAGTTAAAGTTACTGTCATGTTAGCAGAGTGTTTCCCTTATGGCTTCACATTTCTGCCAGGCTTTGAGTACTCCACCACGAGAACAAAGCATTGTCTCTACAAGGATACAGATTCCAGAATGTTGACATACGTGTAGAGATGTATAATCTTGAGGAAAACACTGCTAATGTGACTTGCCCCCTCGACTGTGTTTTGTTTCATATTGCTTGGAAGCACTTTTCAACTGCTTTTTAATTTAAAGGAAATATTGCGGTGCACTTTGATGTGCTGAAGATTTCCATGAAACCAGGCAGTGGTTAGGCCATGCATGGTGCAGGGTTTACAGCTAGGAACAGATTCAATCAATGACCATTTGTTGATGGCCGGTTGACTTTCCCTGGTAACCTAAACACCTAATACCTGGGTGTGGGTCAAAATCGACCAGCAGTTGACAAACTGTGGCTGCCTTAAACCTGCCCAGCATCTCTGGTCAGCTTGGGGCCATGTGTTTGCAACCGGTGAAGACTTGGTACTAGCTTGATACAGTCAAATTGTGGGCTTGTACACAGAATTACCCCCCATTGATGAAACCGTAAGCAGGTGCTCCTAGATTTGGTCCTATCAGCAACACGTCCAGCATGCATGTGATTTCAACCGTGTTCCCAACATGGATTTGCTTATAGCTAAACATGCTAGCAAGGTGCTGCCAATGGCTGCATTCAAGCATGTTTTAATCTTCTCAGCGTGAGTGTTCTCCTGATCTCACAGATTGCAGGAGAACGGCCCGCAGGCAGAGCTGTTTATAGAGAGAGTCGTGACATGAGTGTCTAAATTGCTGGAACCAAAATGGCGCATAATGCGTCCGTGCCCATGGACAAGTAGCACATAATAGCTGCATGTTGTAGCCATTTTGGTCCCAAAGGCTGAAGTTGATGCTACTCTCTGTTTACAGCTCCGCCCACAGGTGAGTGAGAGTCTACCTTCGCATAATGTGGTGATTTCCGAGAGTAATGTGCTGGCACAGTTTTCATACTCCAAGGAGTATTGAGAGTCACACACACAAACACAGCTTTGATGTTGCATTTATTCATGGAACAAGATCTCATCTTTTCCATGACTTACTTTAACAGGTTTTCTTTGGGGGGGTGTCTTTGGGTGTTTTGTGTTCACTTCCTTTTTTTTAAAATTGCAAATGGACCTTAATTACCCGCTGCCAAACGTCAAAATGCAGGAGCGGGTTGTTGCATTGATTTATAATGTCCATATCTGTTCTGTTCCCGTTTCATCTCCCTCCCAGTGGTTCCAGTCCAGATTTCAAGTTTGTCTACTTTAATCAGATGAACTTGGCCCAGAAGACAACTGTGCACAATCGGAAGACCGCCAGCGCCACGATAAGTCCTGAAATGGTTCGACTCATCAGCGATATCAATGCAGATTTTACAAGGTAACATGCGGGTCAAGATAACTGCTGTTGGAATTGTTCTTCCGTAAATATTCCACTAGTTCTCATCAATGGCATAGCCACGGGGGGCCTGGGGGGCATGTGCCCCCCTACAAATTCCTGGTGCCCCCCAGGTGCCCCCCCCCACCATACAAACGGATGAACAAGGCTAACAAAAGCTTGCCCCCCCAAAAATCACACCCCTGAAAGCTGGTGCCCCCCATAAGATGCTGGTACCCCCATAAGATGCTGGTACCCCCATAAGATGCTGGTACCCCCATAAGATGCTGGTACCCCCATAAGATGCTGGTACCCCCATAAGATGCTGGTACCCCCATAAGATGCTGGTACCCCCATAAGATGCTGGTACCCCCATAAGATGCTGGTACCCCCATAAGATGCTGGTACCCCCATAAGATGCTGGTACCCCCATAAGATGCTGGTACCCCCATTGTGCCCCCCACTAGTAAAATCCTAGCTACGCTGCTGGTTCTTATTTTAAGTACCACTTCTGGGAAGGAGTAATTAAACTCAGGCAGTTGTTGAGATGGATTTGTATAAGAGCCTTATCCCCATTCCAGGAACATTTTAGCATCTGACAATTTTTCATGTGAACATTTGAAACTATTGCTTTTGCTCAATTGATTTCTTGGTATAGCCGCGTGACGGTTTAAGAATTCAACCAATTTTGGCCAAACTTTTCCAAGCCCTTCAAAAGCCATCAGAAGGCTTGATACCCCTTGAAAGTTAGGAACACAAGGAATTTATCAAGAGTTTCTTCCCAGCAAAAATTCTGGAGAAATAAGGGTTAGCCTTGCTCTTTTACACCTGTGAATTTGGTTGCAAATTGTTCATTGTTCTTGCATTTCCGGAAGTTGTTGTCCAGCAGCTAACAAGCCTATGCGTTAAAACTTGGTTTGGTTCCAGATTTGAGGAGGATGGGGAGACGTTAATGAAGACAATGTCAGACTGTTGGGTCGTGGGCAAGAAATCCGACCAGCGAGAATTCTACGTGGTTATTAATCAGAAGAGCGCAACCCTGACAGAAATCAATGGTGAGGCCCAAGGAAGAGCAGGAGTATTACCGCAGCAACTTGCCAAGAAATTCATCCCTCGTTACCAGAACAAAAGTCAACATACACTGAAAGCCCAGTTCATGCTTCACAAGTACACAAGTGGATAGCAAATATGGAATCATTAACATGGCTATGAATCCCCCGCTGCCTTGCCTACATTTGAGCATGTTTACTCACATTAAGACAAGTGTATTCCTGAATGTACAAACAGCAGACGTGCAACCCCTGAGTAAGCAAGAGTACATCCCGTCAGATGGGGAATACACTCTTGCATTATGTGATTATTTCGTGACGGAGGAATGTCCAAATTCAATTCCTCAAATGTTGTGTTATTCTGTAGCTTTGAAGTTATCTTTTGGACATATGTGACATTATGAAAATTGGAAAATCTGTTGGTGTGTAATCACAATTGAGCTTTATTTACAATGTTTAACCACTTAACTCAATGCTTTGAAAAAACGTGCTGAATCTCTACCGAATTAAGCAGATCCACAGCTATAAACGGTGCTTACTCATGTCAGAGAAACTGCATTGGATTTGGTACAGATATGACTTCACATGCTTACTCAGACCTGGCCCAAGTAACTGACCTACCGAGCAAGTTACTTGGGGAAGTATCCCACAAGTGCAGTGTGAAAACATGGGTAGCTTTAAGTTGAATGATTCAAAGGGTAGTTGACTCCAAGAAGTTCGGAAAATGGTTGCATGTTGAGGTGAATTGGCTCAAGTCAATTAAGTTACGTGAAATAAAGGCCAGATATGTGTGTGGATGTCTGTTGCTTTCAACAGCTCAAATTCATGTTGCAACTATAATCTCTGCCTGGCCTTTTGATCCAGGTGGGGCTCCCCAAAGAACCTGAGATTTATTTATTTGTTTATTTTTTACCCTGGGTGATCCATTCAGTAAGCCTGCTCACTGATCTCCCATGGATCCCAGCTCACTTAATTTAAGACATTAAAATACCAAAAATACAATACAAAAAATAAAAAAGGATAAAAATTAGCAAAAAAAAAAGAACTCATTTCATAAATATAATCAAACCAAAAAAGTTGCACGCAGTTCCACAAAAACTCATAGATTACCACTCAGTACAGTACACTACAACACGATTTTACAACTGATCACAAAATCTACAAAAAAACTAAGTTACTTAAGCTGCTTCTTAAGATCATTTCTTTATCACCACATATTCCACAGGCGCACCTAAACCTATGACAGTGCGACAGATAAGCATGAGGGAAGTAATCATCCGTGCTGTAAATTGAAAAGGACACCATGTTTAACTAGAGAAAATCCAAAACGTTTAGGCAACAATGACCTTAAAAAGTGGCCAGCCATTTTGTGCATGCTGAAAGCAAACAGTGAAATCTGAATGTAATGCTCACGCAACACTTTCCTACACCCACAGGTACTGCGAGTAACAGGTGCAAAAGCAGCCCTTGTGCAGGCTTTTTTACAACTTTAAGCCAAGAAGAACTGGGGATGGAACAATGGTGGCTTGATGGTGGCAAAGCATAAAGGAAGAACCTTGACTTTTAATGAAGACTTAAAAATCTCAGCCATTCTCTCTGCATTATCTTTTTTTTAATGTCGAATTGATTGGGAAACAGTCAATGAAAATGAAATTCTGTTTAGGTGACCTTAAAGGTACAGTCCTTAAAAAGTGCAAAGTAAAGTTCGTGCTTTCCGTTCCTGCTGGACAAAACTTAGCTATCTCTGTGCCATTAGAAGCATTGGTTAAGAGGCGTTATCTGGTTTGATTGCAGAATTAACTCACCTTATCTTGAATGTTTTGGTTTGTTGACAGAGGAAGTCAAGAGATTGTGTGCCGCACATTTCACCAACATCTTCTTCCTTGACTGATGAGAAGGTAGCACTTCTTAAGAGGCCTTGTTACTAACCGACCACACCCAGCAATACAACTATCTGCTCTGAGCAGATCAAAAGAGGGGGTGGTTTTTTTGGTACTCAAGTGTATGCGCGTTTGACACGGAACACGCTTAGTACGCAGAACTAATTTATTCCGGCATGTACGATCTTTGCGTACACGCAGAACCCGCGCAAGAACCCGCTTGTAACCACCTGTCTTTCTTTTCGCCGATTGGGGGTGTACTTCACTCGGAGCGGATAGATAGCGTCATTTGCCAAGCAAAATTGCTGGTAGTCACACAAAGACAGTCATTTGCATCAAGATGGACTATTGATTGGGCTTATCCTATCTAACTGTGAGTGCCAAAACAGGTTTTTTTTTTCAATATGCCAGAAGAATCAATTTCACACTCTTAGAGGCCCTCTAGCCAATCATCATTTTCCCTTGATCAGCTATTTCTGCACTGAACATTATCCGTCACACCACACAAACCACACCCATTTTAGCATATATTGCACACTAGATGATATCATTTTTTTTTGCCACTAATTAAGCATACAAGTTTTTATCCAGGATTTTACGCACTGATTTAAGTTTACATGAGGTGCACAGTGTAACAAAGTTGATCTGAGCACTGATACGGATTTCCGTATGTTGCAACAGGGTTTGGCAACACGAGCTGTCTCCTCTTGATGAATGGTGTTTGTTATTTTTTGGAGAGCATGGTATTTGTACTTTTTAATAGCAAAGCAACATCAGAAATTAGTCTGCACCCACAATCGTTGCACATGTATGTCCGGGCCCCGAGTTGTGCTGAAGAGTGGATTGCCACACCAAAGGGAGTATTTCTACTGCTCACAGCTTCCACCAAGCTGTGAAACTGCTCAACGGCATCCCTTCAGCAGGTGCTTACTGTTATTATGGAACTAATACACTGGTCGGGCTGAACAAGATTATTCCCAGAAGCCCAATCAAATTGGGCTGAGTTGAAAATCTGCCTTAACATCGGTCAAGTTTTTCTCCTCATCACTCTTTCACGTGGAATGAAAAGCGTATCGATGTAGTTAATTTGATTGTTACCGTAAATACTGTACTTCTGTGTGTATGTGTATACTGTATATAGAATGTTTTTATACACATCGTAAAATCAAGAGTGGGAAATGCAACTACATACGTAGGTGCACTGAACTATTTCAGGATCTCCTGTGTTAAATATGGGAACTCCATCCTGTGGCATTAAAAAGTTGTTCTGAATTTTTTTTTTTTACAATCAGGGATCTGTTGCTAAGGTGCATGTAGTAACGATATCCATTTCCGAGATGAAATTGCAAACTAAAAAAAAATGTCAGAAAGTTACTTGTTGAATTTCTTTCCTCTCAATAATGAAGTTCAAATTATGAACAATTTTTCTCTCCCTGTTTATTTTTCATTTGCCACCTGGATTACCTAAAGCAGGTCTTACTTTGCAAGGTCCATCAAATTCCAGACTCAAGCCTCGAATTTTAACATTTCAAGAGAACCGCACACGTCCTTTACAATAAGAAAAGTAATTAATTCAGATTCCCAGTAAAGAGTAGCTTGTCAAATTTTATTGGCATTATCCTCCTGAATGTCAGTCCACACAGGAAGCAAATATCATCTTAAGAACAGTCTTTGCTATTGGCATTTCATCGAAAATCTTGATTGATGACAGCAGCATGAAGTTGGCCTTACGAAACATCAAAGATAGCTTCTCTTTTTGTCCGTGGGCTCGTTTCAAACTGCCAGTGATCGGTGCTCATTTCTGAGTACACTACACAGACCCCTTTGGCTCAGCCATTTGTCAGTGGATATACAAACTAACAGATGGGGTTGTTGACATAACTAAGACACCATTTGAGATGGATTCCATGCAGGAAAGCTACCACAATATATACACCGTACATTATATAGTGGTGCAACTGAAAAAGTATGTAAGCTAGAAAGTCTGAAGTGCAACGCATCATTTATAAGCACTGACCCCAGTTTCACCTGCCCCTTTCTAAGCCTCCCTCCCCTTACCAAGCCCCACCCTCTACTAAACCCCTTCACTCATTAAGCCCCTCCCTTTAATAACAAGCCTCTGCCAGGCCTTGGGCATTATAATTTGTTTTTTTATTTTTTTTTTATGGCCGTAAGAATTGGAAGCTGCATACTTCAAACTATCAATTAAAAAACCCTCATAGCAAAATTTCTTTAACTCAGTGACAAATCACACTGTTTTAAGTACTGGGATTTTCAGTGTGCAATACATTGTTCTAATTTTAACCCAATAAAGGTATACATGTGATAAAAACCAAATTTCTTTCACAACGGAAAGATGTGTTTTTCATTGTGCTACTTTGTGTCCAGGAAAAAATGCAGATGATGTCAGAGTTACAATATTCGTGACATGTAGGACCAAGAGGTATTACTGTTTTAAGACTCCAGGTGACTACTACAACCATGGTGCTGTTTCCAACACAATGGTTTGACATTTTTTCTGGCCTATAAGGTGGCCTCTTTGTTGTATGGTTGACTTCCAAGATCTGTGGGTGCCTACAAGGATACTATGGGTGCCTACAAGGACCATGCACCTACCTTCAAGACACTCTGGAAGCCTACAGAAGGCCCATGAGCTGACCTCAAGGACATAGTGGGTGCTTGCTATTTGCAAGAATCATGGACTGACCTTCCGGACACCAGGGTCCCAAGAGTGTCAGTAAGGACATTGAACTAACCTTTAAGACACAGTGGACAGCTGCAAGTGCAAGGACTAAGAGCTAACCATAAGGATGCCAACTGGTGGCTACAAGGACCATGAGTCTACCTCAAGGACACCACTGACTGACGTCCAGGGCACCTTATATTCATAAAAGAATCACGAGCCTTTCTCCAGGATACCATAGGTGGGCACAAGGGTCATGAACTGGTTCACTGTGTGCTGACCTCTTGGATACCATGCCACTCCTAATTCATTTCATTGCAGGTTTTGTTTTGTCGTCGCAAACCCCCAGGGACAGAAACTATTTCATGAGTTGACTTCCAAACAGGCACCTTCAAACTTTTACAATCTTGACACATTTCCTCGAACTGTCTACTGTCCTCTGGGACAATGGACTGTCATTGATCGGAAGCTTTGATCTCAAAGTCGTATTTGTCGTCCTTCTGGTTGAATGGGTAATGGATGTTGGGCCAAATAACCGCAGTCAGTGTGTCAGGGAGCGGTCAACGCCTGCTTGGGGAGCACCATTCAAAAATTGGGAATGATGCCTAGAATTAAGCAACTCTCAATATGTTATAATTCAGTTTGAATGAATACTGGCTAAGGCCGTCCCGTCCACGGTTGTCTTCAAGAAGTAATTTGTATTTCAAATATAAGAGTAAACCTTTCGTGGATGCCCACTGTTAACCGAAGGCGTCCACAATATGATGGATTTTCAGCCTGTGGTTACTATGACAACTAAGATGTCATTGTCGTGAGACTTCATGATTTGCCCGCACCCTGTTGTGATGCTGGTACCCTGACCCCTGCCTCTTTCTTTTCACTCTTTCCAATGACGAGGGGTAGTTGCGGTACGAGCACCAGACGATCACGACGACCACGGTGAACACCAGCAGCAGAGCCGCACCGATAGTGCCCGCCACGATGGCCGTTTCACGGTCCTCTGGACTAAGTAATGTGACGCTCGGAACAGTCTGCGTTTCCCGCTCTTTTCGTATGAGAAGTTCGTCAACATTTGGCATGGCTGGCTCTGGCAAGGTATTCAGTGGCGTACCAGTCGTAAACTTGACCTCGTCTTCCTCTCTTTGTTGTGCCAGGTTTCTGCCTTGAATCTACCTGGAATCAGGGCAATAGAAGTGTGAAGTAAGTTTTATTTTGTAGACCGTGAAACGGGCTTAAAAAGAGAAGAGAAAATACTTAGCGCTCCGTGCTTGAAATCTTTCTCGGAAACTCGCTGCAGCATTCCAAGTTGGTTGCAGTTGTGAAAAGGCGTATTCGGTTTGACGTTATGGTCACCTACGTAATGACACCAACCATAAATATGCGCACTCAGTTGTTACCATATGAACGCAGCGATAAAGAACGATTGAGTGAGAACTCGCGGAACACCTGTACCTGTTTGCTTGTCCCGAGAACCTGCTTTAATTCATCACCCAAAAGGAGTTGCGTCTATGTAGCGTAAATGTTACCTGCGATAAATCCCCCCTTAGAGGATTTAAGCCAGAATTATGAGGAAATTGTGTCGGCACTGTTTGAAGCCTCATCGTGGTCATCTTTCCGCATACAAATGGCTTATTTGGGGTTGATACATAATTTAGGTCTTCCCCCAGAGCACATTCACACCATAAATTACGTGCTGCGCTGTATGTGCATATATTATAGGTCGCCTTCAAGTTATGCATTTACATTTAAAGTGTAGAAATGCTTTTCAACCTTGCCGTACGCGTCGTAATGACACAAGTCTACTCTTCGGTCTAGTGCACCTACGTCAGCACCTTGTTTAGTCATATAGCTTGAATGTTTAAAATGGTCTGTGGGATGCATTTTGGAACGCGATATTTCGAACTCGTCTTAAATGTTTGAAAACTGTAAACTTAAAACTTGGTTCACTTTTAAAAAATTTCTGACAACAGTATTGCTCACTCGCTTACTGTAATGCCCCCCCCCTTAAAAAAGAAACACATTCACCGACAGAAGGAAAATTTTAAGACTTCAACATAATTTATAACACTTACTGCGCAGGGTAACTGTATCATTGATTTTTTCCTGAAATAACACCACACTGTTTCTCACGAATTTGCTACTTTGCTATGGCATAAAACCCCAATGCGCACCCAAAAAATCTTTAAAATGTCAGAATAAAATTAAAAACGGGAATTCAGTGGGACAAAGAAATACATTTACACGAACTGCATGATGAAAAAAAATTGTAGAGGCCCTTTAAAGTGGATCGACGATCCCAAGATTGATCTTGCTGGTCCTCCGGCAGCCGAGCGGAAATAATCGTGTCCCCGTCAAGTACATTGGCAGTGGGGAAATGCACATTTGCATCTCTCTGTCATCTGTCTACGAACGATTCACATGCTAGTTTCAGCTCTCAGCATCATCGTCGTCTCGGTGATGAAATTCGCCGGCAAATGGATTTATGCGTCTTTTTAAAAGATGAATTGTTAGCAATTTGTGTAACCCTGCTAGACTGGTGCCGATCAATGTATGTCAAGACCAGGAGCCTTCAAAATTAATGCTTCGATAGATCTGATGGCATTAATGTCAAAATACTCGGGGAAGGGTGTCTGCGTTACTTGGGCTTGACTTAGCACAAAATCTTATCAATGCGGAGATCAGTGCCTCTGTGCATAAAGCTAATTTGGACGCTCCTCACGTCTCAAGTAAAACCAGTTATACTCTAATGTTGGACTGTAGATTTGGCAGAAAGTTGAAGTTCGAAACCGGCAGCCCGCGTGTAGTAATCTCTAGTACGCGGTGACTGGAAATGTTTATCATCAAAGCAGTTTTCGTGCATAGGAAGGAGTGTTAGACGCGAGGTTCATTGTTGGTAGTAGTGGTATTAATGAATACTCTCATAATAAATTGAAATACATTGTGATGATGATGCGAGATCGATGGATTGGAAAACGGAAGTGGTGGAAAGTTTAGGGTGGTTTCAGAAAGTGTTCATATTCCTTCGTTTTGTGTCTACGCGCTGTGATATGTTTTCCTGTTTTTACTCCCTTTTTAATCTTTAAATTTAGTGATTTGTTTTTGTACACCATAATTTCTCCAATTGCGTGTTCTATATTTATATTTTTTTAGTAATGAGATTTAAACAGACGGATTTTCAAAAGCTGGCCTCGCCCTATGTGCACTGTATCTTGCCGTATGATACGATGATATAGGTGGTATTTATTACCGAAAGTAATGAATTATTCTGATCCGGTAGAATTTTATTTGCACTTATACTAGGCTGATGCTTGTACATGTATTAGCTCATCAAGGGGACTGGAGCTGGACTTTCCCGTGTGACACGGGAGCAGGTGCGCCAGTACAGGGGGACTTCTCGCGCTGTCGCCCCTCACACGAGCGTCATGTATAAATTATTATGCCAGGCAAGATATGGGACGGAGGGATCCCCCCCCCTTACCTGTCCAATCCCTATACACACTGTAGACTCTTGTTACCCAACACACACCCCTAGAGGTCAGTAAAGAATTCCTGAGATTCCAATCAAACAATGACCAACACAAACTTTAAGGCGGGGGGGGGGTCTCTCCGTCCCATATCTCGCTTCAAATGATTTACTGCATCATAACAAGGCTATTGTTAATCCATGCTCAAATGAAGCCTATTTCAGAAAGCAAGGTCTGTGCGCTGTCGACATGTCCTGCGCCCAAGAAAGGTGGGCTTGGAAATCATGACAATTTAGGAAAAAAGTAATGGAATCTTGAAGGCATACGTTACTCTCACTGAATAAACCTTGTGCCCGTTTTGTAGGGAGTGACCGTGGTTTTCAATAGCTTTTGCCCGTGTTACACCTGATGGGAACATTCACGCCGCATTGAGTATTTATGGGACAGGAATCTTATTGTGATTTTGGGTATAGTTTTTGGTTGTTCCCTGATGTTTTGACACTTTGCGAGATGTTTAGCCTTTGCAACTACAGCCAGTCATTAACATGAAACCCACCTGCGACTCTGATCATAGCTCCTTGCTCTGACGAAAAAGAATAACTGGGTTACGGGTGATGTCATCGCCCCTTAAGGCAGCTGCATGTGCCTTGGTTTTTCGGCAGCCGTAGCACCCTGGAGCCATTTAATGAACTAAGAATACATGCTTGTACAAGGGATTTCCCTGCTCTGCCCCCATGATGCCAAAGGCTAGAGCGGCATATATATATATGTGTCGTGCCCAAGATCATTTTGGTATCTGACGTGGGCCACAAAATGTTTCTTCACGCCCTCACACTCACGTTATCCTTTAGTGTGGCGAAATAGAAGCAGTAAGAAGGGTCAGAAGAATAGCCGTCTGTCCTAACTACGAGGCCTTAATGATGCCATTTATTCTGCATGCTGCTGCTGAGTTCTTTGCATGACAGAAACATAACAGTTTTAAGGCCTACCGTACGACGACAAATCTCGCATAATGATGTGATTAAATATTGCTTTAATGTATGCGTAAAGAACGGGCTTGATTAGTATTCGGTGCTAAGTCCTGCGGGTTCAGTTGACGCTATTCGGGATCCTCCAGACGATTTGGTAGGCGAGTATTATATTCTTCAGAAGAAGCAGACGATTCACGGGATAACAATATTTCCCCTTTTGGGGGATTCTTTAATTGTCATAGTGGCAGGAGGGTCGCATTTTGTGCCCGTTAGCACTTAACACATATCATATCCTAAAACGTGATTCTTGGCATTTACTCTCAAGTACCTTATAGCCTTAATGCCATAGTGCCTATTATTTTCACACCTGAGGCAAATGATACTGATCAGATCATATCGTGTACAAGATCTTATCAGACAGTGTCGCCAGAATTGAAATGAGAAGTGCGCCTTTTCCCGGCTTGTTTTCTTCCCCCACAAAATTTAAAATGTTCCATGAAGGTATACTCAAACGCCTTTTCTATTGGCAAGCATTCTGTAATCCTGCACTTTCTTCCAATATTTGGACAGTCTACTTTACTGTAATCAAATAGAAGAAATCTTAATTAAGGTAATTAATGCCTACACTGTGATGTGCTTCTTACAAACCTGATGGTCAGCTACTCAGGCAAGCCTGCGAGATGCACACGCCAAAGATCCATCGGATTCCTCCAAGCACTCTCTCAGATGATACTTGCTAAGAATCAAGCACAGACTCTCGGGATACCACTGTAGCATACCGCCATCGTTCCAGACGATATGATCCACGACATGATCCGCTCAACATTCAGGGCTGTTTACACATTTGGTCAAACCATAGAGCTACAAACCATCAAACACGAGCTGTTGTACGCAATGTCTGGCTGCGGGCGAGAGACCTCATTGGAATCGCAAATGCTGCCGCGCCGCTAGGATTCAGGTTAGAATGCTTCGAGTCAACTAAATGCAGCGCTGAGATCACCCGTGCCTGCTTGGCGCGGCACGCGTGACTGAGCATCACCTCAACATCACTCGTCATCACAGACGGCACGGTGTTACTGCCGGTGAAAATTATCTTACTGATCTCTTGATAACAGTGCACATGCTTCCCCGGTTATGAGAGTGCTGCACACAATTATTCAAGCATTTGTGTCCGACACTGTCATCAGGCCATTGTTATTTTAGGGTTTTTTGGCTATACAAATTCCATGAGATATACAACTTGTGCCGCGAAGTTAATACGTTAAGTCTTCACATGAATTATCACTCTCAGTCTCATCCACTCATAATGTATGGACACTGAGGGCGAGTTGAGAAGTCTCGACGAATACAGCAGTAGGCTGATGTGGGGAATCAAGAATCCAATTAGCAGTGGAGGGTAATTGGGGATTTGAGGGGGAAATTTCTTGATGGACTTTCTCTGACCTGACTTGAACTTCGGGGCTTTCAGTAAAAAGCCCCAAAATTTTGCACCTGTAGGGAATGAGGGAATTAAATAGAATCGTTCTCATTACATCAGTTAACTTGGATACCGTGCTGTCCATGCAATATGCAATGCAATGACACGATGAGGTATTAAACATGTCGGCTCCCATGGCGGAATGTCATCGTAAAAGAGCGGATCCAAAACTGCATTTATATGTGGAGGAGGGATTGAAAACAAAAACAGTTATGGCCTTGCTGAAGGGGGGGGCTACGTTTAGAAACTGAGAAACCGTCAGAATATCGCCTTCGTCTCATTTTTCTTCAGAACGAGGTTTGGGCTCTTTTTTGGGGGGGGGACGGGGGCCCCTATAAAACCAAGGGTCCTCGGTGACCTGGGAGCGATGCCGGAAGTGGAAGGTCATTAATGAAATTCTTGTATATGTAAAATTTCCATCGGCGACCTGGCGCGGACAGACGTCGTTTGAAAAAATCTGTGGAATCGCAATGCCCTTTGTAGCCCAGCGACGACGCCATCTGGGGCCATCTTGCCGTGCCGAATACAAAAGAGGTAATCGTTTGCCCGCGTGCCATTGTAATTACGTTAGCACAAACAATTTGGTTAAACAATGGCAGGCAAGCCTTTGTATAATGACCTATATGGAATTTGTTTTTAAATAAATGACGTCCGTGGCCTGGCCACGTGAGGGTTCCATCCGGAAACTCGCTGCGTGACCTTTCATTTCCAAACTGTAGTAGGCCTATACAAAATAATAATAAATGCTTCATCTGATCATAATTGTTGTAAACTGGCCTCCCAGGGTGATCGCCTGAGGGAGGATTTAGGTGTATTACACCGTGAAGCAGTCAATATTTTCTTTTATAACAACTGATTAATTTGCCTAACTAGCCTATATTAGAATACTCCTATTTAAATAAGAACTACGGTAACTAGCTGCGGCCTGCGGGTGTAGTTCATTTGACCGTGCACAACTAGCAAGAAACTGGCTAAACTAGCGAACGCCGTGAGACTTGTTCTCGGCCAATCAAGATACAGAACCTGTGGGTTGAATAAAGTAAAAAATCAACTAAAAATGTTACTGTTAAGGAAATACATGTACATCACAAGGGGTTACAGCCGCAGACTCGTGGAACGTTGTAGGTTGTTTGCTGCCAGCTTCTTATCCGCTTGTGACAGCGAAGGTGGCTTGTGTAAAAAACAAAAATGTCATAATGATGATATCCAGCGATAGCGCAAAAACTGCGACACCAGTGTAAAGTTTGTGAACGAAATGTGTGTAGTGTGTGGAATACGTGCCGTTCCTGATGGAAAACTCGGTTTATACGTACGTCTTTAAGCTTTTCAGGAGCCGAGCTTTAGTGAAAAATGCCCAGCAATAAGTATGGAAAATACGTAGCCTACTTTAAATTGATGACGTTGTATATAGGCCTAATGTGTCATTTGCCAGAGGTGATTAAGATGCTGCATGGTAATGTAACTACAGGAGACAAGCAAAGGAAGTGATGACCTCAGGGTCGCAGGTCACACAAATCTGGCCAATGAGACACTTATTTCGAGATCAGTGCAAAGAGAGCTCGAAGCGATTTTTGCTTACCCTGGCCCAGGTGGCGTGTGGGCGCTGCAGCTAGCTTGGCGACGAGTGAAGCTAAGGCTACATCCGAATCTGTTGTCTAGAGCTAGGTCTAGGTCTTTGCTCCATTGGAAATGCGTGGAGACGCATAGACAATAGACCTAGCCGTAGCTCTGGCAGCCCGTTTCGGACACTTTGTACAGTACGTGAGATTTTGTGGCCGGCTGGTATCCGGCGAAAGTAAATACAGAAATTTTAGCACGTGTGTATACTATTTGCTCGTGCGGCAAGCGCGAGTAGGCTACATCATACATGGGTCGCAGGGAGACAGGGCTTCTTTGTGGCTTTACATTTTACCAGCTCCATGGTTTTACAGCTGTGAACTTGTGCCAACGCCTGTGGTTTGAGAGGCAGATTCTCGTAGCACGGTGAGTTTGGAATAATGTACTTTCAACGGAAGAATGCAGTCGTAGTTCCTTCCATGGTTAGAGGGAACTGTATACCATGCCTGGGCGGTACATCACGCGTACGGTGCAGCCAGGGTTAGTTGGGATCCAGACCCGTAAACAGGGCCCGACGTATACTCCTCCTGTATATGACGGAGTAGTGTACGTCGGGCCCTGTTTACGGGATGAGTTGGGACGCAGCATAATGGTCCACACCTCACAGCAGTGGCACAATTCTGTATAGGGTCCAGTCCACAAA